GGATTTCGTGATTTCGCTCATCCTGAGTCTGCGTTTGTGGTGGCTATTGAGACCTTTAACATTCATAGAAACATTTTTGAGGGAGTCATCCATTTTCATGAGTGGTGTTATTGGTAACGCTGTCTGCTAATATTATTGGAAAGGCGATAGTCGGTGTGAACTGAAGGGGGAGGGAAAAAATACTGATCTTTTTTGATGATATCAACAAAACTTTTAAAACAAAGTATTTACATAGCACTTTAAGCACATCTGGCACTTTGTATGGATGAGGCGCAGGCCTTCTGCACTCCTCTTCCTGAAGGGGTTTTAACCAATGGAGCTACCCCGTCGACCCAGATAACTTTTGAGTGCTTAATTGGCAGTACTCTGCTCTTGTAGTGGGGTGGGTTTGTTGTTTTTAAGTTATTATCCCTACACGGTATAAATGCTCCCCACCTATTGTGGCTTATTGCCCAGTTAAATCACCTGTTCTTTTTAACATGGAGTGTCGCCGCATTAGTGCTCATCCTTCTGGGTCCCACCCATGCATCTATCTATTAAGCTGCAGTATTGGCACAAACTGGTGAAAGGCTGGCGTGTGTAAGTGTTTAGCTCTATTATTCTCAACTTCTGTTTCGAAGGTCCATTACTGAGGCTTGCTATGTGCCATTGTTTACATGGTGAGCCTGGTCCTATCTCAACATTATCATATAACAGTTACATAAACATTTAACTGGTTAGCAACAATAAAGGATATGGTTTCTGGATATGTGTCCAGATCTGCAACATTACCCAGAGTTTGTAATTGAATCAGTCCCGCATGGCGCCCCATGGGGAGCCTGCCATCTGCCATTCGTTTTGTAGGTGCCTTGGTGATGTGGCTGCTCGCCCCCTGGCTCCTGGTACGGGAACAGTCCCCACTCTTTAAGGAGTCGCATGCCCACTTCTGGCTCCTTGACTGTGTGACTTTTCCCGTTCTGCCATATGAGAAGCTTGGTAGGGTATCCCCACCTGTACTGAATTTGATTGTTCCTGAGTGTTTTTGTAACCGTAATGAATTGTCTGCGGCGTGCCATCGTTAGTGCTGATAGGTCTGTGTATAGTTGGATGTTGGCGTAAGGATCAGGGAGCTTGGTGAGTTTCCTTGCTGCATTTAGAAGT